AAACTATTTCATTTTCCAACGCCAATGGCGTTCACAAGGATGCTGGCCCCACGCCTTCTCCGCACGTTCCGATCCGCCAGCGTCTCGCCAACCAACTGCTGCGTCTCCTCGCCGTGCGCCGCCGCGCAGTCCAGGGCGCTAAACCGCCCGACGGCGCCGAGCAACCTCTCCCCAGATCCCGGCGATGACGGCGTGTTCCGGCGGTACATCCACAACCAATCTGCGGCGGCGGGGGCAGCGTCCGCCGATCCGCGGTTCCTTCCGACAGGGGAGAAGCTTCTGGAGAAGCTCCGGGGGATGGGCATTGCTAGGCAGAGGATCCGGATCGACTCTCTCAGGCCACCGCCTGGGGCGGAGGTGGAGAAGGAGCCACCGCTGCCGGAGGGAACGATCACAGTGAAGGACGCCGTGAAGATTCTAAGGGTTTCGCAGCTTGAGGCGGTGAGATCTAGGCTCAGACGGATCGAGAGGGACTGCATTCCATATTCCGAATTCGTGGAGATTTGTGCTAAAGATTGTTCGAGTGTTGAGCAGGGGATAGAATTTGCTACGATGCTCGATCAATCGGGGAGTGTGATTATTCTCGGGAAAATCGTGTTCCTCAGGCCTGAACAGGTTGGTTTCATTTCTTTAATTTCCTTATTCATTCATTGATTCATAAATTTACATTTATTTTTACTGTGGATCTGTGTGATCTTAGATTGGGCCAAGTTCTTATTGCTCTATGGGGTGAAAGAAATGGCTTTTGGTCAAAAACTTCATTAAGTTTTCTGGCGATTAGATCAAATTTCTTTGTGTTAGATTTGATTTTAGCTCTATAATTTTCTTCAAAGTTTTGATTTTGGAGACTACCAAGAACTGATAGCTTTTTTCTCTACCGTGTGTGTGTGTTTGTTTCTTTCCACAGGAAATTGAAACCAATGTTTCGCACTCAGTTCTCTTAAAACGAGATGGTGACTTATATTTATGGAGTGGACATCTCATCACCTGCAGATTTCCAATTTTAACTCTGAAAAAACTTACACAAATTTGACACCATTCACCCTATTACCAATCTCCCTAACTCTTCTATTTCTCATTCCATTTTGTTGGATGATTGATATATATAAATACATCTGAAAAATGAAAAGATCATCCATATGAATAGAATAGAACATACAAACACAAATCTAATGATCTGATAAGCTTGCCCATCAAAGAAAAATAGTTTTTTTGTTTTTGTTTTTTTATAATTAGCTGTAAAATTGTTGGTACTCCTGTTAGGAGTGGGGGAGGGGGAGTAGCATGTATTAGATGAATGGCATGGATATGATGACATCATCAAAGATACGTGTCATTCATGAAATAGAATGAAACATGAATTCGGAAAAAAAAATGGTACACTTGGATCTTTTCCCCATTAAGAACTTCAAGCATTTTCCATATTTTATTCATTGAGTCAAAAGGAATGTGAAAGGTAGATATAAGGAAGGGGTGAACAGCTGAGCATGAGAATTAGAAAAATTGACAAGGCTTGACTTTGATTTTGATTGGTTTGAGTTTGGGGATAATAACATTTGGACCAATTTACTGTTATGTTTAATTTCTGCTTGGAGAAAACAAAAAGAGAGCCAATTAAATTAAAGTATAGGAAAAGAACATACTAGCAAGAAAGAGAGAAAAAGAAAGAAAAATGAAAATGGAGCAATATTTACCCAAATGTTGTGTGCAATTTTTTGTCTTTGGATACAGGTGGTGAAAGCCATACAAGGCCTAATCCCTGTCACCACCCCACCCCACACCATGGATGACCCGAGCATGCAGGAACTGCGTGAATTGGAGAAAAGGAAATCCGAAATCGACATCAAGGCAAAATCGCTGGTCCAGCGTGAGCTATGGTGTGGACTCGGGTACCTGATTGTCCAAACGGCAGTCTTAATGAGGTTGACCTTCTGGGAACTCTCGTGGGACGTGATGGAGCCTATCTGCTTCTCTTTGACCTCATTTTATTTCATGGGTGGTTATGCTTTCTTTCTGAGGACATCAAAAGAGCCAACTTTTGAGGGATTTTTTCAGAGCAGGTTTGGGGCCAAGCAGAAGAAGTTGATGAAGGCTGAGAAGTTTGATGCTGAAAGGTATAATGAGCTGAAGAAAGCTTACGCGTCCGCTAAGGAAACTGATAATGTCGTGTTTACTTCTTATTCTTCTTCTCCAGTTGCGTAATAAGTTTTTTGATCATGTTTGCATAGAAAAAAGTGGAGAAATGATTAACAGAAATTAGTTGTATTTGTTAAACTTACATGGAGAAGAAGAGTATTTTTTTTTTTCTTATATTTGTGCCAATTTAGACGTGTAACGGCTTTGTATTATAGTTTGTTGAGACATTTTTGGACTGTGGCATGAAAATTTCATTTGTAAACCTTTCTTTACCCTTTTCTCTTGAATATTTCAGGTTTACTTCTTCCTAATATTCTTTAGCGTTTGCATAACAAAAGTGGATAAGGAATAATACAAAATAGTTGTATTACTTCTTCCTAATATCCTTTTGTGCAGCAACAAATTTGATAAGGGCAGTGTTTTCTGGGTAGTATTGAATTTGTTAACATAGTATTTTGGGTAGGATCGAGTGTTCTAATCTATATATATATAATTGCTAGCTAATCTCATTTAATAAAACATTTAATAAAAATATTTTCACTTTCCCTTCAAAAGAAGTTATATTTTTTTTAATTAATTACTCATTAATCTCACATTTAAGAAGGTTTTTTATAAATTTAATTAGTTAATGACTAAATTAAAAAGATTTATTTTAATTAATCCCACATTTATGTTAAGTACAATATTATCTTAATATCTTATCAGTTTTTCAAAAAAATAGTAACTTTTTTCAATAAATTTTATAAAAATTAGTCAAATGTGCTTATATTCATATAAATCAGAAAAAAAAAATTAAATCTTAGATATATAAAAAGAACATCGTTGAAATAACTTGAATCCGCAAGGGTAATTCTATACTCATTATCAATTACTTTAAATTTTTTGTATATATAAAAAATTAATATTATATTTACTCATTTATATTTAGATAGTATTTTTTTATTAAGAAGCAAGGACAATCTCTATCAATATAAAGAAGTGTTTCATATGCTATGACATGATCAATAAGAGTCAAAGACAGTCTCTGTCGCACGTCGGCTTACTACTAAAGAGCTCTGCATTTAGTCATGAGTAATTATACATGGCGCTTTTTAGAATTACGAGTCACTTGAGTTTGAAGATTTTGATTTGAGCTGAGGGAGATTTTGACTATAGAAAAACCACGACGTTGTTTTATAAAGAAGTGTTTAAGAATATTTATATTTTTTTCTTAATTTTTTTCAATGAATTTGTTATGATTTTTACTATTGTTTATAATTTTTATTATTTTTTCATGTATCATATAGTTTTCTGTGCAAATGCACGGGACAAAAACTAGTAATATAAGAAAAGTCCGATGTTATCTGTGAGCGAGATCAATAATAACCATGAATCACATGTTGTATTATAAAGACCCTCTTTTAAGTTTGTACTTGTTTCCATAGATTAAATTATACATTTTGGATTATTGGGTTGAAAGTTTTCATTTTCTTTTATAATTAGGCTGAATTTCAAGGGATGAATTTGTAATTAAATGTAGCTTTATGCTACAATGCTACCAAAAAGTGACAAGAGTCATTCAACATGTCATCAACTCAACCACCAAATCAAAGCCAAATTACAAAGTTTTGTTGCCTAGTGCAATAGTCCTAATAAAAAGTAGTGGGACAACAATAGGAACAATTAGTTGGTGCATATGAATTGTTAATTGGTATTTGATAATGATTGGTGGTGAGCTGATAGTTGTTTTAATTGCCTGCTTGTTTAATTGAATGATTAGAGTAGCCTTGAAAGATTAATTATTAATGTAGAAATAAATGGATAAGAAATAAATGGATATTATAAGTTGATTTGCAAAATAATTATCATATAAAAATTTAAGAAAAATATAAAAACGAAATGATGTACAATACATGTTTTTTTTGTTCCGACGCATACTTTTCTTTTATCAATAAAATTGTGTCATTTCCTCTGTTAATTCTTAATATAAAAATTGTTTAACTATATTCATAATTTTTCGAAGACTTGAGAGAACTACTTGGATAAGATTTTTTTTTTTTTTTTTTTNTTTCCATCGACTATTATTCATTCAATACATTTTACTTCTACGTTTATATGAATTCATGGTGATATATATTAGTTAAACTGCAATATCACTGGACGAATATGATCATTACACGAAAAGCCAATCAATAAATTTTGGATATGTGACTGTTGACGTGTTCATGAGTTTGAAAACACTCACATGGTAAAAATTGATTTCAATAATCTCATCATAATGTATACTTTATACATTGGATATCAATAATTCATCAACTCGTTGAATAATAAATGGTGCACTAGATTGAATTTCCAGCATATGCCATCGTGTTCATTCATATCATTACTAGTACGTAGCCCGTGCGATGCATACGGGACAATAATTATAAATTGTATGTATTAAAGCAATGAATATTATTGTGTATATTTATGTATTTACTATATTTACTAGTACGTAGCCCGTGCGATGCACACGGGACAATAATTATAAATACACTGTCCGACCCTCGACTGTAACTGATTTGTAAATTTATTTTGTACTTATATAATTTGCAATGTTCTTACTCATATTTTGATCTACATTTGGCTGGATGCTGAACAAAATAGGAGAACGCATGATTTGTTATTAAGGATAAATATTTATTTATTACTAATGATAAATATTTAAATTTCATTAGATAGTACAAAATTGCGTTTACAATTTATGAAGAGTTGAATTGGGTGAGTTGTTAATAAATTAAAGGATTCTAAACTAATACTCTTGATTAAATGATTTTTCGAAGATACACTAAAAAAATATTTTGGTAATGATTGACTATCAAATGAATAGAAAACCACGGTAATTTGTTATTGATGTTGATTAATAAGATTCTATTGTAACATTATGTTAATTATCATAATAAATATTTATAATTAATTTTTTATTTTTATTTTGTGATTGTATTTGCAATTTTATTGTGAATATTGAAATATTATTTTCTAAAAACAAAACCTATTTAATAGAAACTTTTCGTTATTGCAGTAATTATCACAAAATAATTTTCAAAATTGGTACCACTTTATTTATATAGAAAGTCTTGTCATTAACCGAATTGCACGATTTACACCATGTAAGTATAATTTGATATTTATTTTTTACAAATATTATGTAAGTATAATTTGATATTTATTTTTTACAAATATTAACATAATCTTGATTATATTTCCTTTAATAGTAAGTCAACCTACTTAAATACAAAATCAAAGTTACTATTTTAGATTATTCTATCATCCTTTTTCAATATTAGTGTGTACCCCGTGCGATGCACGTGAACAATATTAAATTAACAATATTATAAATAAACCTCGAGTTTGAGTCACTCAATAGCGGAAGTGAAAACTACTATTGATCCTATTTAAAAAGAGAAAGAAAAAAAATAATTATATATTAAAGAGGAGGATAAACAATACTTAATAATTATAAATTAAAGATTCGGGGTCAAACAATGTAAAATTATTTTGTATAAGAGAATATAAAAAAATTTGATTACACACCATTTCAAAATTATTATTATACTTTTTTGTATGGTTAGCTTATAATATTTGTAAAAATATTAGCAAGTAGACCGATGAAAATTAACTTCTTAAAGTAGATAATGGATTTCTAATAGCAATTATGAATTGATTTCTATTTTATTTTATTTTTTTTAAAGATAATGGATTTCTAGTAGTAATTATGAATTGGTTTATATTTTATTTTATTTTTTCAAATCTGTATAGATAAGGGATGTGATTTTTTAAACATGTATGCAATAAAAATTTGTAACAGAAGAGATAAACTCGTGTAGATTTATACTAAAAATAGGAAAAAGAAAAATAAATATTTATTATCAAACAACGGTTTTGATAAACTAAAAACCAGGAAAAAGAGAAACAAATCTTTACACAATTAATGATTTGTCCAACAATTACTATATGTAAGATATATTTAATGATTTTGGCGGGAAAAGGTTTCTAAATTTGTAAAAAAATTATTCTTTTTATATAATAATAGATATATAAATAAGTTGATTGCAAATTTTCCATTTCATATCTATATCTATATATATATAAAGAGGTTGTTGGAAAAATACATTAGTAGAAAGTTTGACCAAATAAATGTAATGTTTGACTTTCTATTAATGGAAAGTTCAACAAAACACATGTGAATCTTTAGTAACAAAATCTAAATCTTATTTTTTTGGTAACAAATTTGGATATTTTTATGGCAAAATTTGAATCCCATTTTTTAGTATCATATTTTATTTTTTTAGCAAAATTTAAATCATATCTTTTTGGTAACAAATTTGGAGATTTTTATGCAAAAAATATGTCAATTATTTATGAAAAAAATTCTAAATACAAATTAATTTAAAAACCGTGCAAACTGGATACAAATTTAGAAAGAAAATAGTTGTATAGTTCTTAACCAATTCTTCCAATTTTATTGAATAATTGTTTCTTTCAAAAAATTGTATAAATTGGATAAAGTCACGTGCAATTTTTATTTTAAAGTAAAACTGATATTTGGACGGGATGTACATTTAAAATTGTGTCCACATTTTTTGGTAACAAAAGCGGTTCATCATTGATATTTAAAGTCACCTTATCCAATTATTTAAGAAAAATTGTGTGAAACTTTTCAAAATTTAAATGCATCAATTTTTTTGGATTATTATGTTTTATCTTAACCATGTTTTACCGAGATTTTGGTAAGTTCATATCATTTTTTTTTTTGGTAAAGTTCATATCATTTTCTTGAGGAAAGAGACAGTTGCATAAACATTAACAATTTATTTTAATTTTTTTATTAGAATTATTTTGAATTCAATTTGTTTGGTATAAAAATCGGTGCAATGTTAGGAAAATTTGGTTACATTTTTAGGAAAAATTAATGATTTTTTTTTATTTTGTTTAAAAAAAATTCGGATCAATCTGCTTGATAAAAAAATTAGTTTATTGATAGAAAAATCGGTTTCATTTGCAGGATAACTAATGATTCTTTTCAATTTTTCTTAATTGAAATTTATAATTATATTTAAAATAAATAATGGGTGAAAATCTCTAAAAAAATCTACTTTTTTTCTACTTTAATTTTGTTTAATAAATAAGATCCTTAATTTTTTTAAAAAATTTGTGTTAACTAATAACTAATAATATGCAATTTTGGATAAATTCGAACACCTATGTAATACTTTACGTGCCAAAGAATCAAATCAATAATGTTGTACATAAGAAAGTGTTTAATAACATATAAATTTGATTTTCATGAAAT